CTTTGTGTGCGTGTGTGTGTGTGTGTGTGTGTGTATATATATATATATATATATATATATACCTCTTATTTTTCAGGGGCATATTCCTTTTTGTCTTTACAGATCCCACTCTTTGGTAAGTGGTGCCTGTTCAAGTATATTTAAACTAGACAAATCTACACTGTAAGGCCATGATGACTTAACATTTATAATTCATATGGCCACTAAAGGCACACTGTTGAGATGGGGGTGTTCCACAAGATCGCTTTTAGGTTTTCCTTGCAATATACTTGCTTCATCCATATGCCCATTCCAGACTATACTAACCCATGGACTTCATAAATAAAGCAGAAGGGGATAGCTGCCCATCCTGCCATTCCTTAGAATGAATAAATCAAGAGTGTTCTGCTTTTCAAAATAGGGTTTTTGTTGTTTACTGTTTTACTGTCTCCAGTGTAGACATTTTTCTGGACTCTCCACCACATTTTCCCCCCCCCCCCTTTTTTTTTTCAGTGGAGTATGGGAGTCCTTACCACTTTCCAGTTCCAGGCCATTGTGGTGGTGGAATGTGGAGGCATCCTCTTGAATGTGATAGTGATATATGCACGGTTTGCAGTTGGCACCATTACAGGGCCAGCAGTACTGGTACTGGTTTATAGTATATTGTATTTTGAGAATAATATCTGTTATCACATGTCCGATCTTCAGAGTTTTCACCGATCACCTGCTCTGGTATTTCAGCTTCGCTTTTCACAGTATTATAAGTGTTTGTAATGGACAGTGTCCTTAGGGCTAGTTGTTGGAGTTTTGACTGTACTGCCGATTACACTAAATTTATTTAATTGAGGATTACAGTGGCAAGTGAAGCTCACAAGTCGCTAACTTGAGGAGATTTAGGATTAGATTAAATAAAATGATCCTGAGACTGATATTCAACACAATACATGAAGTTTTTTAACATAAAATACACTTTAGTAAGACTTTAATCATTTGCTAACTCTTCATAAAAGAACTCTTTCAGGTTAAACAACACTGATATTCATAACTCTCACATAAAATATTTTTACTCTCTTAACTTTTTATACGATTCTTTTATATTCTATTAAAAATTACATTAATTGATTAAGAGAGAAGTAGTTTCATTACTTACAGTTGGTAAAACGTTGAAGATTGGACACTTTCAAACAAATACAAAGGTGGTAACTAGAAGAGATAATTGTTTGCTTTACTTCTTTATTTACTGTTCTATATTTCAAGAAAAATAAGTGTAAGAATTAATTTCTAAATAGTAATAATCTATATACATATATAATGTATAATAATGGAAATATGACTGTATTTTACAAAATACTAGTCTGTTAAAACACAGCTAAAACAGATCACTTTCTAAAGACTAAAGGTGAATTTTATATTATTGGATACAGTAACACGAGAGCACATGTGCCGTACCATTCTAACTTCTGTATTATTAGCCAGGCATGGCCGAAAGGTCAAAATAATAAATATATATAAATGTATAATGTTATGAGATGTAAGGTATTTAGTCTAAACATTTATGTTTTTGTGTTATAATTTTGATGTCATTCTAGAACGAAAGAGGCATAATTTATATTTATTCAATGTGGGATTCTACCTATTTATGTGAGAGGAGGTAATGTACTGTATCAGAAGTTATAATTTTCTTATATACCGAAAATGTATTTCCAGTGGGTACTTACCTCTTCTCATCCTTCCTCCCCACTGAAAACTGGTACTTCTACTTTCTTCCATAATTCGAAGTGATAGTTTGGTAGAATTGAATAGAGGTAGTCACATGCATCAGGAAGATGTGTTGCACATCTATTGGTGGAGGATTGTCACATGATGATTTACACGTGAGATGCATTTGAACCAGTTGATTGTGGGGTACGTGGGAGTTCAAAGCTTGTGGTATGTGAAAAAAAAATGTTTACGTATAAAAGGCAGCACTGAACAAAAATAGCTATTTATGTGAGAGGAGGTAAGTACGTGTGAAAAATACCTTTTCAATATAGGAAAAATTAAAATGTTAACAAAGCAAGGTATGTAATTAGCATTTAGTGAGGCCATTAGGGATTTAATAAATAAAAAAAGGATAACATTATCTAACATTGTCCTTATACAGTTTTTCCTTCCTTAATGAATATCCTCAGCTGTGTAAAATAAAACTGAGAAAACGTTTTTTTGTGTGTTTTTTTATGACTTGAAGGTTGTTTCATAATGTTGCACTGAAGATTGTTCTAAGTATAGATACACTCCATATCTTTACAATGCTTTGCCAATTAACGTTTTTGTGTTATTTAAGAATTTGGGACACTGGCACTCAACAAGAAGTGAAGAAACTGGAATTCAAGGCAACTCCAAGTAGTTTACAAGTGTCACAGGATGGAACTCTTCTAGTCATTACACATGGAAGCAACATTAGCTTTTGGGATGCCAACAGGTGGGCTCTGTTGACTTTCCAAGTAAAAGTCTAGTTTTAACCTAAAGATATTAAAGAGCTTCATTAAGTTAAGAATTTCTCTCTTTTATACTACTAATACTAAATCTTTTACTTACATTTTGAAAGTTAGTGCTGCATAAAGAATAAATAGTGAATGTCTACACTCACATAGAAATTATAATACATCTTAGTAAACCCTTCAGAAAATTGTACTCATTACATAATGCATAATCATTGATCTATACTTCAACCAGATCAAAACTGCTTGTTCTCGTGGATCAGCTGGGTAAAAGATTTTGTATACCTACTTCATAACATTGTCTCTAATCTGTAGCATAATTTTCCTGGGTATTTTTCTACACAACAATACTGTTTATCTAATCAAATACATGTTCAAGGTTAAAAGGTTGAGTGGCATCATATACCAAAGACATACATTTTTTCACAGTGTAATCATTTGTAACAGCAGTAACAATATCGGGATTCTTTTCAAAATATGAGACTTTCTTCTTCACCCTTCTTTCTCACTAACTTTTAACAGGAATTCCATCATGGTAGCATTCACATTTACTACATTTCAAGTAAACTGAGTGCTTCAAAACTTTGCACTTACAATTAATTTTTAATAGAGAAAATTTTCTGCCGCTCTTACAATATATATATATACTCTGACTGGATTATCACTTTATCTTCTCTTTTTGCATGAAAATAATGGCAGAAATTATGTCAAGGTAGATTGGAAAATTTAAAATATCTAGGTTTAGATTTTTCCCAAATGTAATGAATGGTAGAGCAAAGATAAATTGTTAATAGTGTGTTTAATGTAACAGGAAACTTCTTTCTAATAAGTAACCATAAATTCATTCTCTAACTGTCTTTTTTAATGAAACTAACATAATTACCTACACACATTTGAATAAATGTATACATGTAATATGAAAAAAAAATGTATCACATTATTTTTTGTAGGCTTTTACTTATGCTTTTCTTGATTATATAACTGATTGTTTTTAAAATCAGGTGAAAAAGTATTAACAATGCAAAATATCTTTGTAGACTTTTTTTCTTTGGCTTCATCCAGCAGATGGCCTGTGATTTAACATGGTTAAAACTTAATTTGTTTGACATATATATATATATTTCTAGTTATGACCAAATCAAAGAATATACAGCCCCTACTCAAGTCAGTTCGGCATCTTTACATCCTGATAACTCTGTGTTTGTTTGTGGAGGAGAAGACTTTAAAATGTACAAGTATGATTATGAGACTGGAGCAGAGCTTGGTGAGACAACTGTATTTACTGATACTTTTTATGATTTACATTACCTCACAGTACAAGCTAAGTATTCTGCATGTGTACAAAGATGTTGAAGTAGTTGCTCTGAGTATATTATTTATTCCATTAAAATAATTTTTATGCCACTACTTTAGCAAGTTTTAATTTAGAACTTCCTACATTTAATTTTCAAACATAACAAAATAAACTGTTTGAAAAAACACTGATTTTTGTAATGGCATATATAAAATTAACTTACTGTAATATGCAAAAAATATTATTTTCAAATACCTTGCGTATATAAAATTAGGTACATCTATTCTAAATTGCTATTTGTAAATAGGCCATATTTCTTCTAACATGTGAGCATTCCATGGATCTAAACTCCAAAAAAAAAGATCAGTGGAGAAAATTTAGGGGTGATAGGAAATATGTTTGTCTGTCAGGGCCTGACCATGACTGGCAGCAAAGGTTGATCTTACATTTATTATCCTTGATCAAAGTATGGGTTCTCCATCTTTGCTTAGTCTTGATAACTGCTGACAACATCTGCTGTACAGCACCTACAAACATAAAAATATGTACAAGAACCATGCAACCGTGCAATTCTATGATGATGAGAGCCTGTATGTGAGTAGTCAGTTGTCCCACTACAAGGATATTTGGCTAAGGAACAAAAATGGAGGAAAAAACAAGTGCCTGTCTGCATAGTGGGTGGAATCTGAGTGGTGATCATATGCAGCAAGTAGTGTTGTCATGATATATATAACATAGTATATATTGTGTTACGTAGTAGTCTTATTGGTAATAAACTTGCATGAGTTTTGACTATACAGAAATTACCAAAATTGAATTCTTAGATTAGATTAGAGAAACTTTTTTTTTCTGTGCATTAGAAATAATTCATTTTATAGTAACCATGATAACTGTTGAATATTATCAAATGTTCCATCTTAACAGGTCATCAGTCACCCAAATTTTAATAAAAAACACCTATGTTTCACTATGTTTTGGGAGTAGGATAAGCAATAAATTTGACATGCAGCTAATTTTTTAACAAAATTACACAAAGTACAAACTTAACAGAAAGAAATGAAAATACAAAGCACCTCCTTGTATGAAAATGACTTGATGAAACAAGAGACTGAAGTTAACAAAAAGGTGTTAAAGTACACAGGAACTATAAATGGAATATCCAAGAAGTAAGTGTAGTCCAGTTGATAATTAATGCTGCTACAACAAAGTTTGAAATTCTAAGAAAATAAATGAACAAAAGTATACAAGATCAGAAGAGGTTTGAATCAGAAAAAATGCAAAGATGATTCATCGTATTCAAAGAAAATTAAATAATTATTCAGTCCGTTTCCTGTTTAAAGAGAAAGTTAATAAGAAACATTTTATTGTGCCATTATAAGAACAGTTGTTAAAGTATGATCTTATGAAATTTAAAAATAAATAAATAGGCTCAAATCTATCTCATTGCATAATGTTTAAGATGTGTACATTTATTTATTGAATTACAATTACATTTTATTGGATAAGGTCAGATACGTCTCATTAATTAATTAAATTTTTCCTTAATGAAAACATTTAAATTACCTTAATCTAAATTAGTTGTTTGCTAATACGTTAATGGATAACAAACTTCAATTTGTCATAAAGATATTTTTATCTAATTAAAACTACCAGCAGTTTAATTTCATATGTTGAAAGTTTCTTCATCTGTTTTAATATGTTGATAGATCAAGTAGTTCAAAACTACCTATTTTAAATTTCATTTAGATTCTTTCAAAGGCCACTTTGGACCAATTCACTGTGTGCGATTTTCTCCTGATGGAGAATTGTATGCAAGTGGTAGTGAGGATGGAACCCTTCGGTTGTGGCAAACTACAGTGGGTAAAACATATGGACTTTGGAAATGTGTACTTCCTGATGATGCAGCTGCTAATGAATCTGGTGATGTCTCTTCTGCCCAAGATGATAATTCTGTTAAGGCAGAAGCTTAATGTTGATTTAAAATTTACCAATATTTTGTTCGTTCTAAAATGAAAATAATTGGGTCAATATCATTAAAGATCAGACCTGTAGAACTATGCTTCCCACTTTTTTTAAAGCCCATAGAAGTGACTTTTCAAATTCCCTGTCACTTGGTGTTGGTAAATAAGAGAGGCTTAAAAAACTAAAAAAAAGTAAAAATTCAGTATTGCATTTTTTTGTTTACTTGTGGGTACTTAGAAGGTGAATGTAAACTTGGCTGTTCTGAAACTATACTAATTAATAGGACCACAAATTGCTGACAATATGAATAGTGATGCAATATACAATTTGTTTTACTAGTTTTTTTGGTTTTATTTTTCTGTTACTGAAAAGTATTGTCAGTATTTTTTTGTCTAACACTTATTTGGAACCAGTTTCTGTACCTTTATTGGCATTTCTATCTGGTTGTCTATTTTTGCATGGAATTAGGTATGGTATTTACATATATAATCTTCTCATTGTTTTCACTTTAATTTCAATCCATCTTTGTAATTGTTTATCATATACTATTCTTCCCATATCTTTGTATTAGTTTTGGTACCTAAAATATTCTAAAGAAGAATGTTTTGTGGATATTTTTGTTTCTTTGCCACTGCTGCATTATCTTTAGCTGCATAAAAATAACTTGAAAGCTTTGAATTTTCTTAATCTTTTTAAGATTTAAAAGTAACTTATACAGCCATTTTATTCACTGGAAATTATGTTTTGGTTTTGTAGAAACTGAAGTTAATAAATTAATCATTTTCATGATTAATAAAAATCAATAGTAGCTGAAGACTTACTTAGCGACAATAAGCTTAATATATATATATATATATATATATATATATATATATT